AATAAGACTGAGAAATTCATAAGAATATTTTGCTCAGTGTAATACCACACAGACGAAATTAACATTACGCCATTCACAGTAAAAATACGCAGATATACACTGCAGGAATATTTCCACAAGAACCCATGAGATCGATTGATGTAACGGCAAAAAGAATTCCAGCGTTACATCCAGGCCTTTGAGAAATCACCGTTTAATCTGAAGAGCGAGTGTCACTTGGTTTTATCAGTGATTTACATTGCCTGAAGCGGACTAGTGAGCTTCTGAGGAACTTACTTTTCTACAAACTGACCTTCTATAAGTCAATAAAACTGTTGAGCATAGAACAGTTAAATAGCCAAGGCCGAGACAAATAAGCCATTTGGTTTATAAGACTTCAATCTATTTCTAACATAAAAACTAACGCAACTAGTGCGAGAAGATAACGTTCCTAGAAAAAGAGGAAAATGACAACCAGGTATGTGTTCGATCACCTACATAAGAGTAGACAGCAATTTTTGAAAATCTCCCTCTATATCCCATTAGTTTTGAGGCCAGTTTGTACGTTAACCAACTGTCGCTTCGTGAAAAATAATTTTAAACTAGAGAATCTCTATAGAGCCCCTATGCAAGCGACACAAAATAGGGTGGTAACTGATACAATTATAATTATTCCCTTTCGAATAAAACTCTGAATTGTACAAACTTGATGCTTGCTATCTCAGTAACACGTGCATTCGTTATTGATAAGATCCCTCTTTAAAGAAATGATGTGAATTTAAGAACACAGTTCAAGACTGTCATTCACCACTGGATATATTTTGATACTACTATTTAAACATAATTTTAAAATATAGTTAGGTCTCCGAAATTAGGGTTTATGTCGCAGAACAAATTTCTTAGAAATACTAGTCTACGTATCAACTGAAGTGTGTAAACGCCACTAGACCAAATACCAACAATTTTCAACTAGTCTAACCACAGGCTCATTGTAATTATCTTCAATTAATTGTGAGATGGACTGCGTTCACTATCGAACATGCGAAAGCAATAGGTTGATATCTTCGTTTTGACGCTATGAATACTTCATCAAGATAGTCGTATTATTTTATATCAACAAATTGTATTAGTGAAACAGTGCTCTCCAAAATCCTGATAACCATAAACACCAAAGAACCGATGAATCTAACTCATTCACATATCTATCTGTAAAATTCGTACTAAGATTTACACTGAAACACACAGACGTGACAGGTGACCAAGTACTACAAATAGCTCAAATTGCTTGTACTCAGCACAGTAGTACTCCAATGATGAAATCATTAATGCTTTATTAGCCGATGTTGGTAGCAATGCTAACTTATTCTTAGAGAAGAAAATAAGTCCATGTCGTTAATGGTATTTTATCTAGGTATGGTAAATTCCGTAGCAGTAATGTGTGTGGAAGAAAAAAATAAAACCACGGAGAAGAAATCCCAAGTCCTGTTCAGGTTAGCTTAATAGGCTTAACTTCGGTTGTTCACTAGTTCATATATTTGCTCGACCTAATTACTATTACTAAAGATCCGGCTCATCATCGCAACACCAAGAAGAAAAAGTAAGGAAATAGTCAGGTTCATAAAAATTCGTTACAAACATATAATTCAGAATATAGATCATGAGTTTGCGGTTAGCTTCATTCATAACCCCACATTCGTCAATCTGAAGCTACTTTCGGTCCGGATCGATATGAAGGAGGACTACCAATTCAAATCACACACGAGTGTGTCCTCAAACTATGAAAACGAACTTGCGAATATGCTGAGGAATCGTTGATAGCGAATAAGACTGAGAAATTCATAAGAATATTTTGCTCAGTGTAATACCACACAGACGAAATTAACATTACGCCATTCACAGTAAAAATACGCAGATATACACTGCAGGAATATTTCCACAAGAACCCATGAGATCGATTGATGTAACGGCAAAAAGAATTCCAGCGTTACATCCAGGCCTTTGAGAAATCACCGTTTAATCTGAAGAGCGAGTGTCACTTGGTTTTATCAGTGATTTACATTGCCTGAAGCGGACTAGTGAGCTTCTGAGGAACTTACTTTTCTACAAACTGACCTTCTATAAGTCAATAAAACTGTTGAGCATAGAACAGTTAAATAGCCAAGGCCGAGACAAATAAGCCATTTGGATTATAAGACTTCAATCTATTTCTAACATAAAAACTAACGCAACTAGTGCGAGAAGATAACGTTCCTAGAAAAAGAGGAAAATGACAACCAGGTATGTGTTCGATCACCTACATAAGAGTAGACAGCAATTTTTGAAAATCTCCCTCTATATCCCATTAGTTTTGAGGCCAGTTTGTACGTTAACCAACTGTCGCTTCGTGAAAAATAATTTTAAACTAGAGAATCTCTATAGAGCCCCTATGCAAGCGACACAAAATAGGGTGGTAACTGATACAATTATAATTATTCCCTTTCGAATAAAACTCTGAATTGTACAAACTTGATGCTTGCTATCTCAGTAACACGTGCATTCGTTATTGATAAGATCCCTCTTTAAAGAAATGATGTGAATTTAAGAACACAGTTCAAGACTGTCATTCACCACTGGATATATTTTGATACTACTATTTAAACATAATTTTAAAATATAGTTAGGTCTCCGAAATTAGGGTTTATGTCGCAGAACAAATTTCTTAGAAATACTAGTCTACGTATCAACTGAAGTGTGTAAACGCCACTAGACCAAATACCAACAATTTTCAACTAGTCTAACCACAGGCTCATTGTAATTATCTTCAATTAATTGTGAGATGGACTGCGTTCACTATCGAACATGCGAAAGCAATAGGTTGATATCTTCGTTTTGACGCTATGAATACTTCATCAAGATAGTCGTATTATTTTATATCAACAAATTGTATTAGTGAAACAGTGCTCTCCAAAATCCTGATAACCATAAACACCAAAGAACCGATGAATCTAACTCATTCACATATCTATCTGTAAAATTCGTACTAAGATTTACACTGAAACACACAGACGTGACAGGTGACCAAGTACTACAAATAGCTCAAATTGCTTGTACTCAGCACAGTAGTACTCCAATGATGAAATCATTAATGCTTTATTAGCCGATGTTGGTAGCAATGCTAACTTATTCTTAGAGAAGAAAATAAGTCCATGTCGTTAATGGTATTTTATCTAGGTATGGTAAATTCCGTAGCAGTAATGTGTGTGGAAGAAAAAAATAAAACCACGGAGAAGAAATCCCAAGTCCTGTTCAGGTTAGTTTAATAGGCTTAACTTCGGTTGTTCACTAGTTCATATATTTGCTCGACCTAATTACTATTACTAAAGATCCGGCTCATCATCGCAACACCAAGAAGAAAAAGTAAGGAAATAGTCAGGTTCATAAAAATTCGTTACAAACATATAATTCAGAATATAGATCATGAGTTTGCGGTTAGCTTCATTCATAACCCCACATTCGTCAATCTGAAGCTACTTTCGGTCCGGATCGATATGAAGGAGGACTACCAATTCAAATCACACACGAGTGTGTCCTCAAACTATGAAAACGAACTTGCGAATATGCTGAGGAATCGTTGATAGCGAATAAGACTGAGAAATTCATAAGAATATTTTGCTCAGTGTAATACCACACAGACGAAATTAACATTACGCCATTCACAGTAAAAATACGCAGATATACACTGCAGGAATATTTCCACAAGAACCCATGAGATCGATTGATGTAACGGCAAAAAGAATTCCAGCGTTACATCCAGGCCTTTGAGAAATCACCGTTTAATCTGAAGAGCGAGTGTCACTTGGTTTTATCAGTGATTTACATTGCCTGAAGCGGACTAGTGAGCTTCTGAGGAACTTACTTTTCTACAAACTGACCTTCTATAAGTCAATAAAACTGTTGAGCATAGAACAGTTAAATAGCCAAGGCCGAGACAAATAAGCCATTTGGATTATAAGACTTCAATCTATTTCTAACATAAAAACTAACGCAACTAGTGCGAGAAGATAACGTTCCTAGAAAAAGAGGAAAATGACAACCAGGTATGTGTTCGATCACCTACATAAGAGTAGACAGCAATTTTTGAAAATCTCCCTCTATATCCCATTAGTTTTGAGGCCAGTTTGTACGTTAACCAACTGTCGCTTCGTGAAAAATAATTTTAAACTAGAGAATCTCTATAGAGCCCCTATGCAAGCGACACAAAATAGGGTGGTAACTGATACAATTATAATTATTCCCTTTCGAATAAAACTCTGAATTGTACAAACTTGATGCTTGCTATCTCAGTAACACGTGCATTCGTTATTGATAAGATCCCTCTTTAAAGAAATGATGTGAATTTAAGAACACAGTTCAAGACTGTCATTCACCACTGGATATATTTTGATACTACTATTTAAACATAATTTTAAAATATAGTTAGGTCTCCGAAATTAGGGTTTATGTCGCAGAACAAATTTCTTAGAAATACTAGTCTACGTATCAACTGAAGTGTGTAAACGCCACTAGACCAAATACCAACAATTTTCAACTAGTCTAACCACAGGCTCATTGTAATTATCTTCAATTAATTGTGAGATGGACTGCGTTCACTATCGAACATGCGAAAGCAATAGGTTGATATCTTCGTTTTGACGCTATGAATACTTCATCAAGATAGTCGTATTATTTTATATCAACAAATTGTATTAGTGAAACAGTGCTCTCCAAAATCCTGATAACCATAAACACCAAAGAACCGATGAATCTAACCGAGAAACTTTCCTATAGTTTTTTAAGTGTCGACCTAAAAGAAGACGGAGTACTCACCCTAAGAATAGTCAATTTAGTATGGAAAAGGTGAGTTTTGATGGACGTCTACTGAAATGAAAAACAGTATTACAAATAGCTGGTAATCACCAAGTAGGGGTCAACAAAACATCTTGATGTAAACGTACATATTTAAATTGTGTCGCTTAATGAATATTACACTAATAATCAGGGCCTATCACTTTATCAATTATAATGATCACAATTCAAAGTTAAACGTTTACTCAATAGATGAATTAGCAAAATAACAACCATGTGTAGAAAACACAAAATTTGATGTTTATTTCTTGGTGCATCTTATATACACAACGTTAAGGAAACACACAGAATATACGAAAACATAAAACAAAATGGATTAGAAAGTAGCGAGCTAAGAATGCTGTTCAAGTTCTGGATTCCCCATCTCTATTTCATCATCATTGTATATATTCTCAGCCTAAAATTGAATTAAATGTTTAAAAACCACAATGGATATGACTAGCTTTAAACTAAAGAAAAATAGAACGAAACAAATGTATTTTATGTATAATATATGGAATTTGGCGGGTAGTATAATTCAGGACTCGCGTGACGTCATATTTTGAACTTGTCAGCTGAATGTATCTGCATCTGAGAGTCAATGTTCACTCCATGAAATGTTATTCACTTAGCCACTGAGTCCAGGTAGCCATTCACTTGTATAACAGGTATCAATTTTTAATTTAATTTGTCATGGCTCGGATTGTCCAGTTGTTCATATTTCGACCAAATTTTGATCGGTCAGTGAACATCGACTCTGAGACTTACGTATATCCAGCTGACAAGTTCAAAATAGCACGTAACGTGTGTTCTGAATTATACTACTTGTCAAATTTCATAAATTGTATATAATTTTGAGATAATGGCTACATCGATCGAATCCGCATAGGATGCACATATGCCGGCTAAGACTGATCAAAATTCAGTCAAAAATATCAACAACGCGATAATCCAATCGATTACGAATTAAAATAAAAAATATATTTTATGTATTTATTGATCAGGCTTCTCATCTTATATGATTAGTCGATTTCTCGAGAATTCTTCTACCATTTCTTCATTTCTATACATAAATTAAACGAAAATGAGATTAATATTGTCAAACCAGCGGTAAAGACTAAGTTCAGTTAACAGATATACCGCCCCCAAATGCCCTGGTACGGCCGAGAGTGGGGAGAGTCCGCTCTCCCTCTCGAAATGCTCTCACAAGGCCACGTGCATACAACCACCTCCAGGGAAGTGCTACTCACTGCCTTCTCGAGGTGGGGGTGTTGTTTACGAAATTGAGAGGACGAAAAGCGAATGTCTGGCGCTTTAACCGGATTAGTGGATGCGAGGAGTCCACCTAGAGGAGTTGGAAAAATCCGATTCAAAACCAATGGTGCACATGGGCTCCAGTATCCTGGAGGAACAAATGGAGTATGAACCTATTGTTGGTCATCAGCTACCATGGGACTGCATCTCCCAATGTTGCTCCACTGCCTTGTGTTGGCGGGACATAGACTGGATTAAAGCATGCTCAATGCACGATTGCTTTGTTGCACGCTGATTGGATAAGAATTAGCCAATCAGCACTAGTCGATACTTGGAGAATACTCTAGAATCTTTTTATGTAAAAACTATAAATATACTAACGTTTTCCCTATTGTGCTTCTTACTTCCATCTAACCTTGTTATTTGGAATATAATCTCTTTCCTGTTCAACTGTGTTCTGATTTGGGGACTTGTCGAGTGAATCGGTGTCCAAGAGTACTAAGCAATAGGAATAGCTGGGTCATAACCGTAAGAAAGAGATTATAACACCTTGTGAATCAGACCTTTAGGTCAAAGGCTTCGGGCGTGACCTCCTAAGAAAACCACCTGCTTCGGTTTGTGCACCCGGGCAGTATCCCAGCCCTCGCACAAATAGAATGATTTGTGTGACGCACATCTATTTAGTGCCTCCTTGTACCAATGTTTATGTGCTTAAATAAATAAATAAAATAAATAACAGATATACCGAATACCTGGGAATCTAGAGACACTTTAACTGTTTGACATTAATGTACGCAGAAAATCTTTAGAAGTTTACGAATAATTTTATCACTGGATTTATTTATTTTACAGTGAAGAGTTGAGCGGGCATAATTAGCAATAACTCTCGAGGAAAACTTTAAGAATGTCACGTCAACGTTTCATAATAAACGGGTGTAAATATTGTGTCAAATAGCATTGATTAGTGATTGAATGACTCAGTCTTTAACCAGTAAGACGGAAGTTTTAATCACTCTTAACTTAATCCAGTTTGAACAGCTCCAGTTTCTCTAATCTTTACTCAGTGTGGCTCAAAGTCGAATACAAAAACGTGTACTTGGTAAATAAGTTACATTTAGTATGACAATATTTTTGTGTCAAATTAAACTTCATAAACTGAATGCATACGAAAAATTAACAATTTACCATTTGCCAGATCTGTAAAATATTATCCTCAGATACAGAGCAAATAGCCCACGGATCATTAATATTCCAAGAAAAATCTGAAATCTTTGCTGTATGCCCAGCATGAATGAACAATAACTCAGGAGGTCCATCATCCGCATCTTCAGCAGTCTGATCAATACCTATCTTACTTAAATCCCAGACATGAAGACGACGATCAGTCCCTGAGCTTGCCAATATGGTTTCATTATGTGGAGACCACTGGACCTAATGAAAATACATTACAAATGGTTTTAAAAAAAATCAGATTCAACTTTTCATTAAAGTAACCTTTAGTGGAATACGTTCAGGCGATACAACCATGTTTATATCAAACATCAGTAGCACTTAAATAGAAAATGAAAGCAACTGAATACCAATTTTCATAAAAAAGATCGTTTTCACAATATTCGGGAATTGTTTACCTTAACTTTAGTAGCATTGTGCTTAATGTTTATGCCTTCAACCAACAGTCCCAAGAAGCAATATATTTTGTAAAATTTTATATTACATTGAGAAGTCAATACACTAGTGTTGTGAGCAGCCTAGTTTTCTAATACGATGACGCTAAAAAAATATTGAAGTCTTTTCCAAACAATATTATTGTTTTTCATTTGAATACACCTGAAGAATTCTAGTTTAGCACATTTTATTCATGATTATATATCTGGTATTTTGTCAATGTTCAACGTAAGCTGATTTATTGTAATGTTTTAACTATCGACTTAGTAAGGATAAAAGCAAACCTACGATTTAGAAATAAACCGTGAATGGTACGTTATGCAAAGTAGTGAACACAATTATTTACTTTTCAAATGAACCAATAAATTATGTGAAGATGTAGTGATAAGGGTTACTCATGTGATTATCTTATTTAACTAATTTCTGCTACCCTAAGATATATCTAACAATGATATCTGGATCGTTTTTAAGAACGGAAAGAAGGTTTGATGCTGTAAGCAAACATATTAGGCGAGCTGCGTTCCTAAAAGAGTAGTTACATGAATTAGATGATCGTTACACAATGTTGTAATTCAACACAGTCCCGTAAAATCAAATAGCAAGAACATAAAATAGTAATCTTAAAAGCTAGAATATTTCATCACCTTTCTCTTTACTTTTAACTCAAAGCTAAAAATGATCGAAAAACTAGGTAATACTATCAATCTGAATGTGAGTTTGTATAACGTAGTAAATACATTGACAAAACAAATAAACTAATGTGATAATTAGGAAATTTCAAAGATGTATTTTAAAAATGCTGAATTTCTACCTGGAATATTTCATCCCTATGAGATTCAAATGAATGTAGCTTCAGCCGAAGATTACGCAGATCCCAAAGAGCAACAGTCTACAGATATTTTTGGATAAAAAAATGCTATATTAAAGGCATTGGTTATAAATTGCAAATAACACCTGATTTTAGATAACTGAAATATTTTAAAGCCAACTGCATCTTGGAACGGATGAGGGGTCATGATATTAATATAACAGTGGTACACATATACTCCAACATACAGCTCATTTTCATAACAGAATAATGAATTCATTTACTGAGAATCTGACAAAATAATCGATGTAAAAACAAACACAATAAAATTAAGCATGATTAATTAGTTAGTCCCGCCCAACTAAGTAATAAAACTACATAACCACAGTAAAATAATTAACTGCACTAATGTTACTCTAACTGACCAATCAGTACACGTATAACCAAGAAACAATCTTGTACCATGTACACAGCAATAAATTCAAACAACATTTATTTCTCTCTTTCTTGTTGGATGAGTCATAAATAATGAGAATAGTGGTCCTGAAGACAAAGACTATCCGAACGAAGTACAGTCAGTTCATTTGAAGTTGATTGAGAATCAACTTCTTTTAAAATGATTTACGGAACAAATAAATTAACAAGAGCTTTGTTAATCTGAAAACTAACTAACTATATATATATATATATATATATATATATATATATATATATATATATCCACACTGATTTTTGAAGCTGATGAATGAGTTAAAATGAACTTAGTCACTTAAATAACGAACGTCATAGATACAAGAAACACCTCAAACTAACGTAATAGGAAAACAAATAATAAAACGTTTGCTACGTATGCACAACCATCGCCTACTTTATTGTTCAAGGATAATTAGTGTTGGAAGAAACATGGGAGAGGACAAACGAAAACGTGGTAAGTTCATGAAGTTACACTGAAACGTGTAAGTAGATGTAGATAACCTGGTTAGTACCCGAATGATCTTCGTAACCAATGGTTGATGTTGGATGACATCGTTCAGAGCCATTCGCAATGGCCCAGGTTCACTAACTCTTAGTATTCCTTTAGAGCATGAGTCCCAATATCTTATACACCTTTTATGCACATAAACGTCTTACGACTGCTACCGTTGATTTTGTTATCACAGCTACTATTCCGGAAATTATCTTTTTAATGTTATATCACTGTGCTGATGTGATGTTGCAACTTGAACCGATGTATATGTGGCAGGTCCTATACTGAATGTGGCTGTTCGAAGGACATGTAGTATTTCTGATTACATTTACAAAACGATTATCACTGTCTCCAGATTTATCGCGAAGTAGGTGAATGGCTCGAATCTGCAAGCTAATGACCGAAAGCTCAGTACTTTTAACCTCTAAGCCACAGCTCTACGGTTAATTTTACTGAATTGGAGAGGACTAAATTGGGCTAATAGAAATAAATATTCACAAGTTTCGCAACATAGTTGACTTAAAAAACCAATGATATTGTTTCATGAATGTTATTTGGTTATTCACGTTTAAAAAGAGATACGAGGATAAAATACTTAATTACTTTGTCTGCACTTCCCGTCGCAATAATAAACTCAGAAAACGGATTAAAAGCAAGACAATTGACTTCGGCTGTATGAGCATCTACTTGGTGCTGAGGTTTTGTACGATTTGAACTCCGTGTATCCCAAACCATAAGTTTGTTATCATCTGCTACTGAACCAAAAATATGTCCATGGAAAAGATGCCAAGAAACATCCTCAACTACTGAATGATGACCCGTAAAGATAGCCATCGCATCTAGATCACAGCCATCTAAAGGAGCAGCATTAACATCCCACAAACAAATTGTCTGATCATCAGATGCTGAAAGGAGATGACCATTAAGAGACACATTCCATGAAAGACCATAACCTTCTTTTTGATGACCCTAAAGTGAAGACCGAATAGAAAAGCAATGCAATTGCTCAATAGAAGAGACACGTAATCCGGTATAACATAACAATTGGTCTCACAGTAAATGGAGAAAAATCCAAGACAGTTTGTTAGTTACGTGAAACCAAACTCCATGTGAGTTATTAAAACTTACGAACTTTATGGTTAAAGTAAATTAATCAGTATACCAATCAAACAATTTTATGCAACATTGTCGAAAATAGTCAACCTCCTCCCAAAATAAAGTAAAAATCCCAAATATGGTTTGTCTAATAACAGAGCACGAGAAAATAATACGAGTCTTGAAGTCGAAAACAGTTACCAACGTACTGGTTCATCTGCCAGATGGCATCTGAACTTTAAAGTATGTCCTAGGATAGAATAATTTCAAGATTTACTTGAAAATAATTTCATACGGTCACACATTAATAATTTTTGACCGCCATCTAGTGGTAATTGTTTTTCTCAAAACTTGTTATCTGGCACTGAAACTGAATTCGTCAAAAGAGAGTATTTATCTAAACGGGTTACAGAACACTAATTACGCACTGATGATAACTATGAAATTTCATGGAAAGAATTTTACATAATTACATTATTCTTTGATTAATTCCATGCTGATATGTCTCTTTCCTTACATGTTCATGATGTTATGGTATTCTGAGGTATATTTCTTGATTCAAATGTTTTAAGTTTGTCTAAATGATAGCTAATCAGAAGAAATTTTCCCCTGGATTTTTTTTCAATTTGAGGCAGTTGAATATCACACATTCTCTATGAGACTAAATCAAAGTAAGAATCTCTGAATGTATCTTTCTTAGTTTAATGTTGGTGACAGAATTATGATATATTTATTTTCAGCACTGTATTCTATGGTTTGTTCTATGTGGTCACACATACTTTATTATATACTGGATTCAGAAAAGGGTAATAAAACGAGATGAACACCAATAGTATAGTACCTTGAGACGTAAATCAGGTTGGCAACCACGGTCTGATGGAGTTTTCGGTGGATGTCTTGGGTAATTAAATATTAAAACATCACCACTTGGTGTTTTGGTAGCTATTATGTCTGGATTCTGTGGCATAAACCGAGCACGATTGACTTCACCTTCATGATTTATTTTCATTGATATTTCCAACTTCCCAGATGGAAAATAAAATCCCCCGAAATCACCTCGTTCACTATCATAAGCACTTGCATCAAACTCTGCCTGGTCATTTGGTAGATGAACCGTAACTATCAATAAATGATTTTGCTCATCAGATGTGTGAGTCCCCAGTATTAAACGATGAACGGAGTAATCTCGCCCAGTCCTGTAGAACATTATTTGAGAAAACTACCTACCTTTCCACAGATGGCAACCACTGAGCAGTTAAACTTGGCCATTCCAAGCAGTGTGACATCAGCATATCGTACAAGAACGGAGTATTCCTCTTCCATATCTTGTATTCTTCATTTATTACTCTCTCTTCGACAATATCTTCAGAATCTGAAGGATGCAACTGTCATTTTTGATTGAAATAGTTAGTAAGTTAACTTACCATCATTTTTATTAAAGAATACGCTTCAGAAACGGTGTAACCCCCTTTGAATAATTACACAAATGCTTCGTTAAGTGTAAACGGTCTTAGAATACAGAGAACATGAGAGGAATTAGGAAAGAATTACGAGTATTCCAACAGTAAAAATACAAAACTATGGGAAATAGAATTTTCATCGTTGTATGTCGAAAGTAAAGTGTAGTTATTACATACCCAATACTAGTTTCCTAAACCGCATGATGAATAATACAAATTTATGTAATCAGCTTTGAGCAACACTTATGTATAAGGAAAACTGACAAGAAAATACTCGGTCGCCCAAACGGATGTACAGAGAGGACGAGGGTTAACCAGAAAACAATGGCTCGGAGTCAAGAACTTCGACGACTAAGCTACCAAGTCGATAATTTAAATAGCAATTATAAATACTAAATATGCTTTCCTAAAGAGCTTACATTATACAAATACATTAGGTACAAAACAATGTTACGACAGTAAATGTAAAATCTATTTAAGGCATTCGAAACAGTCTCTTCGGATGTGAAGCGGTAGATCAAACATCTGGGGCATTGAATTTGAAGGTTAGAAACCCACTCTATCTACTTCGATTTGAGAAAAGTACCATATAGATCTGATTTAAACCTTAGGACAAATACCTGTACCTTATTACAGAGTTAATATTTAACTGGGATGTAGCCGATTTTTGGACACCGTGAAAATGTATAAAACAGAAGTCTTAGTTTAGTTAGGTGGGTTTGTACAATCACTAACCAGAATACCTTGGATGGTTTAGGGCTACCCAGCTGTGAATTAGGTTTATTGGCATTAAGCCACATGTTTGAACACTCGAAATCAGACAAGGTTTTAAAGATTTCCATTTGCGAATAATGAGATAAACCATCGAACAATAACTGATACTGTCAGAATTATTTATTGGAGGCTTTCATAACCGCGAATAAAAACAAGGATCTAACTAAACTACTAGTTATTGAAAAAACTGCCTATAGACAGATTTCATCAAAACTTTATGTCCAAAAAGTGATTGACCACCGTTAATCTTTTAGAAAATAAGTGCTGTTTTCTAAAAGTACCACTGCTATACCTGAACCAGTACATCGAATTCAGTTCTTATTCATTTTTATTCCAGATAGACAATGGCTTTATAAATTTTATTTATCTCTCCCGCTGTACATGCGATTGTAATCAACCCATATTATAGACCCAATAAAACATGTTTATTTGAGTTTTATGGCATAATTCCTGAGTAAAATTCAAGACAGAAGTCTTCAGTTACCTAAAACGTAGAACCAGGCACACATATACATTGGTACAAGTTGCCATACCTCATTAGCACAACAAGATGAACACCAAATTCATAGAAGCAGTTACTTCAATGATAATAAAAAAATTCATATAAGAATACAGGGAGAAAGAATCAGCTCGTAGAAAGAAAGATATGAAATAATTTTAATCTCACGGTTTAAGAGAAGACAAAGAGTTTATAAACCCATGCCATAGTGATCGATTCTAAGCCATGTCACCAAGAGTCTCTAACCAATGGTTACGATAGTCACGCGGACCTTGCATTTACCAACATGGGGCTCAGACCGGGATTTAGTAGCTTTATGGACTGACGTCACGTTTTGGTTTGACCGCCCCTAACTTTCTTCCATCCGTCTCCAACACTAGTCAGCATTGCGTGTCGTGGTAATCGGTGTTCAGGCATACGTAACGCATGGCCCACGCATCTCAGTCGATGAAGATTCACAACCCCATCAACTAGTTTACCATCACTTCCTAATACCCTGCATCAAACCTCACTATTACTTACCCGGTGATCCCAGCAGATGCGAACAATATTTTTAAGACATCTGTAATTAAATACTAGTAAATTACGAGTATCCTCTACTCTTAATGGCCATGTTCCCCAGTCGTAAAGTAGAACATAACGAACTGCTGCACAGTATACTCATCCTTTATCTGAAAGACGGATATCTCGCGTTCGCCAAAGGTAACATAAGTTGGCAAAAGCCAAACAAGCTTTTTGAATCCGTACTGAGATTTTGCCAGACACCAACCCATTAGGGCTGATCAGGCTTCTAAGATAAGCGAAGTCGTCGGTGCGTTCGACTACTTCACTCCCTACATTTAGTTTAGGTGTTGACACAGACCAGTCCTGAAGCAACAACTTCCATTTAGAGGAGGAGAAACGCATCCCAAATATCCTGGTATTATTGCTGTGCTACCAAAATACTCCGCATTTTATCAGTGTCTCCACCAAACAGGACTATGTCATCCATGTATTCTAAGTCGATAAGTGGACCTCCTGAAAGGAGTTCAATATCCGAGAATTCAGTCGACGAGAACGTTATTTCCATAAGTAGGTCTATGACGAAATTGAACAAAAGAGATAAAGTGGACAGCCTTGACGGACACCACTTGAAGTTGCAAAATCAGATGACAGTTCGCCATAAGCTCTCACTCGACTAGTAGTGTTCGAGTACAGAGCCCTTACAAGGTTTATGTACTTCTGAGGTACACCTTTCAATGACAGACACTGCTACAGAACCTCTCGGTCAACAGAGTCAAATGCTGCTTTTAAGTCAAGAAAGACCACCATTGTCGGACGCCGATAAGCATGGTCGATACAGCCACGACTAGATCTGAAGCCAGCCTGATTTCCACGTGTTTGCAGTTCACGAGTCTTAGGCGCCCGATAATTATTGAGGCCAGTATTTTAGATGCTATACTAGTTAAACTAATTCGTCTATGGTTATCATAAGATGATTTCGATCCTTTCTTATATATTAGGACGATCAGTGATTGCAACCAGTCAGATGAGATTACGTCCAATTCCCAAATTCTACCTGAGACCTCAGTTAATCTCACTGCTAATACTGGACCGCCATCCTTAAAAATCTCGGGAATGAACTTGTCAGGGCCTGCTGCTCTCCATCGCTTCAGATTTCGGATAGCTTTTTCAACTTCATAAAGAGTTGGAGGACCTAAATTAACTTGCCATTCAGGTTGACCGGAGATCGTGGGAAACCGAAGTGTGGCTGAAGGCCAGTTGAACTGATCCGTAGTGTTCTGCCCATTGATCCAATCTCCTGGATTGAGAATGTATAATATGTTCATCTTTCTCTGAGACTGTTTCGCTAACAGTCGGGTTCCTAATACCGGTTTCCCTAACGAGTCTGAACAATTGTCTGCAATTACCTATTGCCGCTGTCTTTTCCATCTCTCTTGTTTTCGCTACCCACCACTGTTTGCGATCACTGCGTAGGCTTCTTATTAGCTTGCGCTTAATCTGACTCCGCTCTTCGTTATGTTCATAGCCAGATGGAATGAGTTTTCGAGCATCTATCAGTGCGATAGATGCTGCTGAGATCCTGTGTTTCCCCCTAACTTTATGATTTACCGTACTTGCAGACATCACTGTTGTTACCACAGCTTTTCGGATGTCATTCCACGCTACCTCGGGGTGGGCATCGCTTACATGGCTGCCCAACGTTTTCTAGTTGTTCCTCAAATATACCCTGGGCATGACTATCATCAAGTAGGACCCTAAGGGGTTTCCTTGCATCATCTTTCCCACGTCCAGTAAGACGTAGACAAATATGCGCTCGCACAGGAGCATGAACTGAGTCTAAGCATGTGCTTCGGAATGAGCGACAGTCTTCTATCGAGCCTCTTCATCGGTGGCCGATAGCGGTGTGATCTATTTGGGTCCAACGTTGGGACGAATTCGGGGGTCGCCATGTCAAAATATGTTTTTCCTTATGTTCAAAGTTAGTGTTTGCAAGAAACAGGGGGTTATCTGAGCATAGCTGCAACAGGTGGTCGCCATTATTTGTTCTTTGAGTCATGATACCATAAGATCCACCCAGGTGTCTTTCCCTTTAGCTTAGTTTACCTACTTGAGCAATAATGTCGCCAGCCATTATTACTAAATCAGAGCGCTTAGCTTTTCTGAAAAGCTCGGAAAGCTTTCTATAAAACTCATCTTTTACATCATCTGAGCTGCAGTCAGTGGGAGAATAGGCAGAGACGACGAGTGTCCCTATCTTTCCGATTCCTTACTGTTCCGTTTAGTCGGACAGCGCTCAAACGACTGTCTACTGGGATCCACTCTAAGAGAGCTAGTTCTGCCCTAGGACTCAATGCTATACCTACGCCGGCGAGGCCACGAGAAACAGAATCAGGGCTTCCAGATAAACGAAGCGTGAATCGAGTCGGTTCGTTGTTTTGACATGGTGAGGTCCTATATGCGCGTTTCGGAGACGCAGCACAAGTCGATGGCTCGAGATTCTAAAGAAGCCTGTTGTCCTATTTGGCACAGTGTTCGGACGTTAAAAGCTCCTACGTGTAGTTTAGAGCGTGGTTTCAGGAGACCAGGAATAACGTTCCGCGTACTTGAATCGTTTGCCCTAGCGGTGCGAGGTGATAAAGAGAGGTAAGAAGGGTTAGTCGTGGAGATAAGAGAGGTATTAGGTGTAGGAAGGATTTGGATGTGACCAACTTGGTCTCATATGCTGTTACGGGTATGAGGGCTGATGTAACTTCCCGGCTGCTTACAGCGTGGAAGGGTATTTCTTGAGGAACCTGAAAAGAAAGTTGGATTAATGTTGGCCTTAACGACCTGGCAGCGTGACTGCAGAGCCCAAGGGACAACTGCTTGAGGCCAGTTGCGCACGGCATTTTTGTGGGAGGTTTGTGACGTTTTAGCTCCGTTCTTCAAAGAGCCTTACCGCCAAAGACGGAAATCCGTTGGGTCATCACGATAGGCAAGCCCGACCACCGCGTCAAGGTAGCAGCTAAAGTCCGGGGCTGTCCAATTAGCGACATCTCTACACAAATGTAGTTTATCTTGAGTCAGATAGCACAAATATTTCAGAATATGTTTTCAGATGTAACATACAACCCACATCTAAATTAACCATCAGATCAGATGCAGTAATTATGATAGTTAATGCTCAGATGAAATAATCCTGGAGATGTTTAAGAATAGTGACTGAATGTTGACGGTTAGATTGATTGAGATATTAGCTATTATTCGGGAACTGGACGTAAATCAATCTGATTGATCTCGATCGCTGATAATTTCATTAAGGGATGACAGAAATCCTCTTGTGACAGACGTAATGGAATCGGTTTGATTAATCGTTTCTAAATTATTAATCTTGATAATCATTAGACTTAAATAGAGCTCGTGAAAACCAAACCCAAAAACCTAGGCTAATTCCAGACATGGAAGTCGATGTGTAGATCAGATATTTTCCCTTCGTGAGGTTCTGAAACCCAGCCATATCCACCAACTCTCAGTAATAATTGTATTTCTGTCCTCAAAGCAACGTTACACTTCGTAGATAGACAGATTTTATGGTAGTCTCTGGGACTGAAAAGTGTACCGAGGGAGTACATTAACGTCGTGCAGGCTCTACCTGAACACTAGTCGGGTTAGAACTTATGGTGAACTGTTATCAGAACTGTCAATCTTAAGTGGTGTTCGTCGTGGCTCTCTACTCCGTTTATTTTTGTCGTAGATATTCTACATACAATCCCCACATTATATGGCTTCCCATAAACAAACCTACCAAGAAATTCGTTTGTTCACTAAGAACAAGCAGATGAGAGTCCTATTCGGCGAAGACCTTGACGAGACGCAAGGTCTTTTGGTCGCCTTGAGCAACAATACAAGCACGTCTGGGACGTGTATGTCTCTCTTTGAATACAAAATGCTTCTCCAAGAATGGGCTACTTCGAAGCACTAACTAGTGGTAAAGAATCGAGTAATTGAGCAAGTAGATCCCCTCACTTGTCTTGGACATCTCACTAGCCCTAGTGGGTTGGTGGGTTTCAGAGTCTCGACACGGATTCATGAAGTTCGGTTGGTATTACCCAACATGTTACTTGAGGTATTAGGGAAATATCTGTCTGCCAACAAAAGGAAGAGTTTACTCTGCAACAGTTTATTCTAACTAGATATGTGAAGTTTGGTTTTCAAATGGAGAGAACATTTGTGGATTGCCAGTAACTAACCATAGGTTTTCTCAAAGCACTGTTCGTATACTTAAAGATCATTGAATGAGCAATGTTGGTATCAGACACAGGCTACTAGGTAAGAATGTTAAATCGGTTGATTAAATGGTTAATCTTCATCGACTGAGGTTGATGGAACCATCGCATACTTCAACATGAAAGGATGGTTGGTGTAAGAATAAGTTTGAAGAAACATGGGAGAGGACAAACGAAAACGTGGTAAGTTCATGAAGTTACACTGAAACGTGTAAGTAGATGTAGATAACCTGGTTAGTACCCGAACGATCTTCGTAACCAATGGTTGGTGTTGCATGACATCGTTCAGAGCCATTCGCAATAGCCTAGGTCCCTTCAATTTTGGTATTTCTTGAGACCATGAGTTGCTTAACTGTCTTACTACTTAAGCTTCTATCGTATCTCTATGTGCTGTGGTGAGCTTGAACAAATTTACATACGCGGCAAATCCTAGGTTGAATCTGAGTCTCATCGTGCAAATCCTACTTTAGTGATAGCTCCAGCCTCTCGAAAGATAAAGAAGTTATATACAGGTTGTATGGATTAAGTACCTAAATCAACCAGTCAATAGCTCAAATATAGTGCAAAAGTATGACTAGAAACGAAAAATAGTACCCGTAGGAATCGAGAGCGATAGAGTAAAGTAGCTGTAACCATAATAGTCCAAGATTGCGAGTAGCAGATAAGAAACTAGTACGTGGTCTTTAGTAGTCTGAAGCACTTGTCTTTAGTTTATTCCAGGAACAGGATAAGCGAAAATGATAAATGTTTGGCGAATTTACTATTATTAAGACAAAACGTTCACTTTCAAATCTAGCTGTGATATACTCAGTGAAATGCTAGTATACTTATTAAAGCTGATTGGGAAAACATAGATATCACTTATGACAATGTGCCAGGTTCATTACCGACGAAAAACGCCATAGCAGAAACAGGAATCGTGGAAACAAATTACAAACTCGAGTTGTGAAGACAGAATTAAGCGAGATTTATGATAGTTGGCACGATTACATGAGTGAATACGTCTAAATGGTTCGAATTCCCTGTTAATAAAAATGTTACCATGAGCTTAATACTTGAGGAACTCCAGAATATTTGCATATATATGACGGTACACTCAGTATGTTATGGTTCAGTGATATTTATATACACTAATGCATCTGTATAGACAGTAAGTGACCAGAAACTACTAAGTTCGTAGGCCGAACATTACCCATACTGCGTCATCTTTCGAGTAATGATGAAGAGAGGCAGACCACAACACATTTCTAACATGAAAATATATAGAACCCCGCAACAATACAAGCTACCATTTAAACAAGCAAAAAAAACGCTAAAACTAACAGGGTTATGCTTGAACAAAAATCCATACAAAATGATGAGTGGACGAATGTTTAAAGTGATTATTAGAAAACTTGACTACACTATATTTTAAATTATTTTGAAGCAATCGTCATAGGGTTACTACGGTTTCTTCAGACATTGAACGCAAAAAATGAAGGCCAGATAAAAGCTGGTTTACTGTCTAACGCTCGTCTTCAAAGGAAAACGTTGGAAAAAGTGAACATAACCAACAGGACACGGGTCATCATCTATTACACGGTATATTTCCCATTCACAAACAATCAGGAACTACATGAAAATTACAGCGCCCAGTCGAAATAAGAACCTAATTCTTTCGACAACCATGTTAATTAATCGCTATAGACTACATCCGCACTACAATATTAGGTAATTACACAAAAATGAAATAATGGTGAAACTCAAGTAAGTAGATAAGCCAACCAGTTCTAAGATAGCGCCTTTAGAAATTAAGCGGGAACTCCATTTATTTCTCAAGGTGAGTTAGCACTTGTCAAGGTCGTACTTTAGCTTCAATTCCATCACGATAATTCCAAAGTAGGAAGACAATCGCAAAGAAATAATAAAAAACTGCTAATTTAATTGACATAAAAAGGTAGTGACCTACTCCATCTGATGACTAGTACTGAAATTGGAGTGGGTTCTGGCTCAGATTCCTTTACAAATATTAAATTTATTGTGTTTTTGTGGTATTTGCGCACTCTTATGATTCTCTTAAACTTGGCCATCAGCTTTATTCCAATTTCACATATGATACTTTCATTTGTGCTCATTTAGTTCTATTTGCTGTGAATTGCACTGTTTTGTGACTTCCTAGTTAGTACGATGATTCAAATACTTCTAATCATCACAGTTGTGTCTCTTATTTTGTATTTTGGTCCGAGCTACACCAACATATTAATACCAGATCATTGAATATAACCCCAGATGCAAGAAATAAAGTCTTTGGTAGAAACCATACTCCATTATGCAGTGCTAATCCACTAAACGAAGAGTAAACAGCCGAAAATTCTGAATGCAACACTTTACTTGAACGGCGAAACGTAGTGAATAACCACAGACAATTTTTTATCTACAATTCATGGATTTTCTGCGTAAGGTTATTTTCTTGGTGAGATATGTATGTTCCACGATATTACATGGGCCATGTAGTATAGATATAGTAAAGGAACGGAACAATGAGACTTTGGTTTTCAAAAAGAGTAGAACTGTAACAGCTTAGGTTGGTTGGTTAAGAGTTGACCTCAAACAACCAAGCATATGCCAAAACAGTATTGTTCAAGTATTCATTCACTTCCTTATTTTGTGTAAGCGTTATATTCCCTATTATCTTATATTGAATGTTGAGAGCCTTTGTTTGTCTGAACAGATAATCCCACGCTCCACTATGACTGCGCAAAGATCGAAATAAAGACATATTCACTACTTGTCTGGTTTCTTCTATCAATAGCACGAGGGTTACCTTAAGGCACGAAAGAAGTGCCTTTATTTACAGCTAAAACTGTTGAAATTGACAACCCAACCCCCTTTTTCCGCCTCAGCACAAACGCATCACTGCTAAACGCATTATAAACTTAATTCTACCTCTGTGAACTGAATATAACAAGAGAATATGTACTCCAACAATCCTCAGTCTTAACCCTTAACAATGAAACAAATCCGCAACTAGTGGCATCATATTTTATGAAGTAATTAATGTAACTGCACATTTCTCATTTTTGTAAGATTTTACTGACTATAGGTTATGCCAAGTAGTGGTGAGAACAGTAAACATTGTAGTGACTCACATTTATCACGAGAACACGACTGGTTTAATAAAAACAATTATTATTATAACCAACTGTACCAGTGTTTGTTTTAATGTGCTTTTGTGTAACTGTCCTAATTATAGCCATTTTGTGCTTCCATTACCTTCCATCATTGTTCCGCCGTTTTTGGTACTGTTCGCACGTACTCCTTTCTCCTGCTTCCACTTGTACCATTCCTTGGCACGATCTTGGTATTCGTTCAATACCACGAGATCTCCAACCAAATAAATCTGGTTACGTTCAACTTCGCCTTCTGATTTACTTGGCACGTGTTTCTTGGTAGCAGTGTTCATAGTTAATCTGGACTCGACGCCACGCTACAACTTAAACTCCTAGTCCTTACTTTAAATACTCAGGCCTAGTTAAAAACGGTTGAAGAAATTTTCCGAATCATTTTGAATACTTTTAACGATCATGAAAGACGGATGATCTATAGTTGTAAGGGCAAACTTATGTTATTTTCAAACTTACAACAATAACAAGCTACAGAAGACCCTAATAGACTTGTTAGCTATGTAGAATCTAATCGTACTTAATATTGCGATTTGTTTTTAAGTACCATTTGTCAATAAAAACTCTGCTGTTTCCCTAAGAGCTAGATAATAATCAGCTGCGGTTGTCTTAAGCTTGTCCCTATAATATACTTATGATAATTGGGTTTCGTTTAGTATCTGGTTCTTTGTGTCTTTAATAATTTACTGTAGTTATTTCTTATCCAACAAACAACAACTGTATCACATGTGTATCAACTTTGATTTTTTAGTTGTATTTCGATAAAGAGCTTAGTTTTCATATTGTTTCCAACAACAGCACACAAATATCGGAACCTATTTTCCATGTCTTCAGCATAGAGTTCTAACGCAGTTTTCTGAAGGTAGTTTTGAATATCAACCTTCACACAGTGCTTTCTATTTTCGAGGAATTTAGACGAATAGGAATGATATAAGTAGAAAATTGACGATAATAATAATAATGGCAGTAAAATAAACTAAAATTCGAGAATGTCTGTGGTAGCATTAGTTTCTAACTACATGATCTTTAGAGCCGAGCGCGTAATTACCGCAAATATTTGCATTCAACATGTAACACTAAGAGAAGATCAACAATGGTGAACGCGAGAACAATGAACGGAAACGGCATGACTCAGTCATTCAGGTGCGGTAAAATAACCACCCGCTTATTGCGATAAATATATTACCTCCTAGCTCAAATGTGCTTTTCAGAAGTGCTAACTGTCATCTGATCTGTTGTAAATCATTCCACTAAGTAATTAGCCCTTACGGGTGAATCAAATGTATTCTACGAAACTTCTTGTATACATGTATTTATGGGTACGTGCAGATCCACCATACATGCACCTTACGTAGCGGGACTTCCTTGTTCCTCATCGTGCTTAATATTTTTTATCAACCTCTGTTTTCACAGATATCGCAAACATATTCTTTGATTTATCTACAGATTTCGTGTTATTGTAGTACCCACAAATTCTGAAAACGATTCATTCCTTTAATTTATTGAGTTTTTTGTTAACTGTTCCACATTCATTTAACAAACATTGGCTTTGGTGGTCACCACACTAAATTGCCGTACTTCTTTTGTTGCAGTGCAAAGTGCTTACCTCAATTCCTACTGCCAAAACTGGAGAGCGTTCGGTTGTGTTTGCGCAAGTTTGTTATTTATCACCAGTAAATACTTATATTATTTTTATGATTCTCGTATTATTCTTACTCAGTAGTTGAATGGTCATCCGTGAATCAAATTAAATTGATCTATTCTTTTACAGGTGAGCACTGCGTCTCCACTGATGATAACATTTTCATTAATGTGCAAATAGAATTTTTCTAGTTTCATTGTGATTGGCTTCTGTGCCTGTCAGGAAATTTATTGCTTGTTTATATTTGTTTGGTTGCAGTCACATTTTTTACTAGAACCTCCTCTATAATTTCTTTTAAGTAGTGCTATCTTACAACAAGGAAGTTATTATCTATTTTGGTTTCCTTAAACTTTTCGATATCGGAAGGAATCCGAGAAAAAACTCAGTGTCAAAAATAAACTGGAAATCCCTGACTTTAAGGTATTACGAACATACCTAAAAAGAAGAAGGGTGGTTAAGATGCAAGATGTAGGCGTTTAAAAACTTGTTCACATGAGCTATTTTGATAAATTACATTCTTTAGCTAAGATATTAGTACAAAAGCCTCTTCAAAGTTTATCAGCCTGGCTGTTAACCTACTTATTTGCACAGAATGTTGAAATGCGACAAAAACTGTAATTGAATCATCATAACACGGAAAAGTAGCATCCTTCACTTCTTGACGGCAATAGACTATTTGTATGTTTTATAAATACTTATAATTTTATTACATTCAAAAAGATTTGACAGTGTTATTTAATGATACATGACTTTATAAGATATTGAATCCACATACGAGAACGGTTTAAGATACTCATCTCTGCGGAAAATCCACACTTGTTGAAAAACAAACAATCTCTTGTGGATCATCACACTATGTTTAATCGATTAGCTGATCCGTTAAAAGCCAAGAGTCATCAAAGAAGCTATTTAATAATTCTGTTGCAATCACTGACTGCCAGATTTAAACAAACCCACATTCTGATAAGAGCCTATATAAATATATTAAGTGAACTATTTGCAGCTTTTAAAGGTAATTTCAGGACAAATACATCATCAAGTTAAAAGGTTTTCTTGATATCAGGAATATGGCATTCACTAGTTAAAAATGTGTAGAGTTAATTTTGGTTTACGTGAATATTGTTGATCGTCGATATAGGTGGTCGATGTAACAGTGACGAACACATAAATCCAGATAATATGGTGACTCAACAGTACCATGGTACTAATTTATAATAAATTTATCCATAAAAATAGATATAACATTCCTAAGTATTGTTTAAAGAGTCTACACAGACAATCATCACCAATAAATTTGTATACAATCGAATGGGAAATAAATCATTTAGAAATCTGAGATCCGTACAACTGATTATATTTCGTCACAGTAGTGTTGCTTCACAAAAAGAAAGATGCTTCAATAAGTAGGTAGTAAATAAATGCGATTTGTTCCGGTGCAAATCAAGACTAGCACAGTCGGAGAAAGACAAACTGGAATCAAAGAAACGACCAAAATAAAAAAACTAGGACAAAGCAATGGTGATTTCAGAATTAACCGTAGAGCAAAGGTAATACAATCAAACAGTTGAGGAAGCAGAGCTATGTTCAGGCAGAAACAAAGAAGTGCAATTTGTAGGACTTAAAATTATGTAGCCACGATCGTGACAACTCCCCATTGAAGCACTGAATTTTCGTCTTTCCCCACAGGTAAAATAAAAACACAGTGTTTGGGCTAGTTTAACAAAAACTTTATTTCAGTCTTTTAGAGATTTCCCAATCAAATAAACAGTGAAAATCAAAAGTCCACTATTTGACCGACACTGAAACTTGCTTGTAGAATAAATCACATCACGAAAGACAGTTCAAAACAACAAAAGAGTAAGAATATGATTGGAAGACGAAACTTACTGTCACATAAATCAAACTTGTTCCATGCAAACCAAAAACTTGGTTAATTTTTAAATTTAAGGGTTTTGAGATTAACAACCTTACACTTGCGCGTATACAACTAGTTATGTTCCGATTAACATG